CCTATTGCTATAAACATCCCTCTTAACACTTTTTGATATGTTGTGTTGCCATCTTCATTTGTTTCCAGAAAGTTTTTGATTTCTCTTTTGATTTCTTCTGTGACACACTGTTCATTCAGGAGTATGTTGTTCAGCATCTATGTGTTTGCATAGATAACGAGTTGCTGATTTCTAGCTTCATTCCATTGTGGTCTGAGGAGCTGCATGGTATGAATTTTATTTTTTTGAATTTGCTGAGACTTGGTTTATGGTCTATTATCTGGTCAACCCTAGAGAAAGTTCCATGCACTGCTGAGAAGAACGTGTATTCTGAAACTGTAGTATGAAGAGTTCTGTAGATATCTGTTAGATCCATTTGGTCTATAGTGTCAATTAACGATGTGGTTTCCTTGCTGATTTTCTGTCTGGTTGATCTGTCCTTTTCTGAAAGTGGGGTACTGAAGTCCCCCATTACTATTGTGTTGGAGTCTATGTCTCCCATTAGATCCCTTAACATTTCTTTTAAATAGCCAGGTGTCCTGTAATTAGGTGCATATTCATTTATCATAGTTACATCTTCCTGTTGTATTGTTTCTTAATAACTACATAGTGCCCTTCTTTGTCTCTTTTAACAGTTTTTGTGTTAAAATCTATTTTGTCTGATATTAGGATGGCTACACCAGCTCTCTTTTGGTTTATTTGGCATGGAATATCTCTTTACATCCTTTCACTTTCAGTCTGTGTGCATCTTTGTTGGTGAGATGTGTTTCTTGCAGGCAGCAAATAGATAGGTTTTATTTTTTAATCCATTCAGCCAGTCTGTGTCTTTTAACTGGAGAGCTGAGACGATTTACATTCAACATGACTATTGGTAAGTACCAACTTTGTCCTGCCATTATCCAAAAATATTTATATTTTTACTTTGACTTTCCTTTGAACTTTTACTGAGAGATTTTCTTCCTTTACCTTCTTCTGTAGTGATAATTATCTTTCTGTGTTTCTGTGTGAAGCATATCCTTGAACATCTTTTGTAGGGCTGGATGGGTGGTGACAGATTCTTTCAATTTCTGTTTGTTATGGAAGGTCTTTATTTCACCTTTATTCATAAATGAGAGCTTTGCAGGGTATAGTATTCTGGGTTGACACAAAGGATTAGTTCTCTCCCCAGTGTAAGCTCAGATTCCCCAACAACATCTCTCATCAGGTAACCAGGAAGCTCTTATCATGTGGCATCTCCCACACTGACTGCCTAAAGTCCCAGCCTCACCCTGAATCCTCCCACAAGGCCTCAGGCTTTTTCACAGTCCCGGCACACAAGCCTCCCACAGTCACGAGCTCCTAGTCCCCTGTCAGTTCTCCCCACGAGCATCAGGAGTCTCCACTAGGCTGGTTGCTGGGCACAGACATGAGCTGGCAAAGCTGTTAAGTATGTACAAAATGGTGCCCACTCTATCGGCTTGTTACAGGACACTGTTGTAAAGTGCTCAAGGAGAGACAAACATGTCCCTCTTTATTTTCTTCTCTCGTTTGGCAGGTGCACTCTCCCCCATGTGGCTCCAAGCCAGTGGCTTGGGCTACTGTGGTCTGGTCTCACCTCACTTTCTAGTACTGGTGCATAGGCTCTCAGCTGCTAGAGTTCTGAGTTGTGGGCATCCATGCCCTCCACATAGGTCCACTGTGTCCCTCTAATTTGAGTAGTTTCCTCTGCCATTTTCTCCCTAACTATTCCGCGAGACTGCATTCTCTCCACTTTTTTTAAACAATCTTCTCCTAGACTACAGCAGTAAGATCCCTCCCTACTCCACCATCTTGGAACTCTGCCACAACAATCTATTTTAAAGATACAAAAAAAACAAAAAAAAAAAAAAAAAAAAAACAAAGAAACCAGTCTTTGTAAAAGGTAGGATGCATATTTTATTTAACAAATATAATGTGCAACTATAAAAAAAAACTGTATTTCCAGAAGAATTATAAGGATGTACACCTGGATTAAAACCTAGAAAGTACATAGGAAAAAAGAGAAGAAAGAAACAAAGGAAGGAAGGAATAAAGAGAGAGAAAACAGAGAGAAAGGTAAGAAAAAAGGAAAGAAGAAAGAAGAAAGGGAAGAAAAGGGAGGAAGAAAGAAAGGAAAATAGGGAACTCTTTCTACTGAAACAATTTGGGCCCAGGTTATTCTGAGAGAAAATTATCACTGGCATTTGTAGAAACTCATAACTTGATGACCAGTTGACTACTGCAATTTATGACAGATGTGTCAAGCTTGATATATTTTATACAGAAATTTAGATAAAGAGATCTATTCCAAACTTGCTACACTACAAATCTGTGTGCATTTAGGAAGATATTGGTAATAAAGAGAACTTCTCTTAACTGCTTGTCACATGATGCACCACTGGTCAAGGATGGTGCCCAGGAGAATCACTCATGATTTCATAAGGACATAGATGACCTGTAGGAGTTGCTGACCAGAAGAACAATCATCAAAGGTCTATTTGTGTCATGAAAGGTTCCATTTCACTCCCTCCTTTCTGAAATAGTCTCTTCTGTTGGGGTTATATGACAGTGCTGTCTGCACAGTCCTATAGTGTTTGATCTGGGGCACCCTCTCCCTGCACGATAAGGCTCCTTAAGGAACTTTATCCTTTGATCAACAGCAGCACGTTCAGTGCCCAGCACATGTTGGGGACTCTGCCACTGAATAAATTATTGTAAAACTCTCCCTCTTCAGCATCTAAGTATGGGATGTGCATATAAGAATGTTATGTATTTCCCCCATCCTTTGGCCAGTGAAATTGCCCCTTGCCCTAGAAGTTCACCCAGGGGGTTCAGAACACTCCTTACTCCAGGTTCTAGCCATTTCCTAGGGGAAACAAAGACCACTTTCTGATCATCTGGAGTGTGGCTGTTCCTCAAAAGGAAGCACAGGCTACTGCACATTTCACCACCTGGACTCAGCATCCTAGTCAGTGATTCCCCTGAGGAATACAGCATTGCCTACAAGATCCTTGTCCCTTCACTGCACCCACCCAACCCTGTGCCCTCAGAGCAGTAATAGCAATACTGCTGACTAAGAAAGCATCACCAAGTTTCTCACTGGGATGAAATAAGGCAGGCTTTGAGTTAGGCAAACGTCCCATTACACTTACTCTACTTATTCCACCGCACTGTACAATGGTCAATTCCATTGGCTCTGTAGTCAGATTTCCCGGGTTCAAGTCCCAGCTCTGCCGCTTCTTGTTTAATCTTCAGCAAATTGCTTCCCTGTACTATGCTTTGATAGTCTCATTTGTAAAATTGGGATGATAATGTAGTACAGGATTATTTGAAGGATTAATACAATTACACAGAAGGCTCAGAACACTGCCTGGCACATGAAGAGCACTCAATAAATATCAGCTAATTGATCACTCTTGCCTTTATTCTCTCACACTTTAATGCACTCTTTTACTGATCCAGTGTCCCTCACTAAAGTGTAAGCTTTGAGGAGTTCTGCTTTCCCCATTTTTGCATTCTGCCTGGCACAGTGCCTAGAACCCAAGAGTAATTGGGTGTTAAATGAGTGAGGAGATTCTCACCATTTACAAGTGAATGTGTCTTGTCAACCCATGGTGTTCAGTACGGATTCAGTGAATAGCAACAATGTTCCCCACTCTGAACATTCTATGAACATACCTTTCACTTACTGAGTGATTATTGTGACAGATCCTATGATAAGGCTTGGGTTCAACAATATGCAATTATAATTTCACAGGTCAAATATTGGCAATTTCAAATGTCTCAGTCTAATACTGTGGGTATCTTAATTTTTTAATTCTATCTAGGTAGAATGGAGAGTTTATCCTCAGTTAGAGACGAGAAAACTGAAGTGGTGGAGGTTAGTCTCTCACCAAGTCCCATAGCTGGTAGGTTGTGGAAACAAGGCAGGTGGCTGCCCTCAGGTGCTCTTGATCTGGTTTTGAAGACAGAGCCATGGCTCAGGAAACTCCCAGAGTAGATATAAAAATGAATATATGTAGCACTAAATTAGATCCGATTTCCTGAGGCTGTGCAGGGAACCAGTGTGCCCTGTTCAAAGTTAACAGAGAAGAAGGGCAGGAGCTCTGGGGAAAATCCAACAGTGCAACATTCCTTCAGAACATCATGACTGTCATTTTCTTGTGCACTTCCTGGCCTTGGCCTCAGGCCTTAATTACATGATCTTCAAATAGCAGCTAAAAGGTACTTCTCATTAAACATGAACAAGAGAATGTTTAATTTGTTAGAACGTAGGTGTTCATAGCGCAAATCATGAGTTCAGGGTGTTGAACTGAACACGGCTGTTGGCATTGTCTTCGGTGGACACTACTAGCCAAGGGCCTTCTCAGGACATGTGTTCAATGCAGATGAAGGAAGGAGACAGACCCCCCTGTGATTCCGGGATGAGGTCTGTGACATGAACTTGAGATTTTCAAGGGGTTACAATCTGCATTTCACTTCTCGTGTAATTCCAAGACGCTGTTTGTTTACGGTAAAGGTATTTGTACAGCACTCAAGAATGTTAATATAAATGCTTAACTCACGATAAGGTGAGTTCTGTTTCCACAACAATTGGCAGTCTAGTCCTTGATTTCACTTGGTGATAACTTTGGATTCGGAGAGTTCTAGTCCTTTAGAAAGTGCGACTTCCTTGTTTGCTAGGTATGAATCCTTGCATAAATTTCTCACCATTTCTAAGCCTCAGTATCCTCATCTGTAAAACAAGTATCAGAGCAACATTGCTGGTTGATGTGTTGTTTTGGTCATTTAACGTCTGCAAAACCCCAGTTCAGTGTTTGACAGGTCATTGCTTGCTTTCTCTATCTCCTGCCTTTTGCTCCCTGTCACCACTGTAGAAGACAATGTGTGGGTCCATGAGGCCAGAGCAGAAGGGAGAAGGAAGGTGGGTGCCCTGTTCCTGAGGCAGGGAAGTGACCTGCTGGTGCCACCTGAGGGTTAAGCCCTTTTGCCCCTGACAATGTCCTTCTCCTCATGCCTTTCAGCCTCTGAAAATGCACTGCAGGGACTGTGCCCTGGTGACCAGCTCAGGGCATCTGCTGCGCAGTCACCAAGGCCCCCAGATTGACCAGACAGAGTGTGTCATCCGCATGAATGATGCCCCCACCCGCGGCTACGGGCGCGATGTGGGCAATCGCACCAGCCTGAGGGTCATCGCCCACTCCAGCATCCAAAGGATCCTCCGCAACCGCCACGATCTGCTCAACGTGAGCCAAGGCACTGTTTTCATCTTCTGGGGCCCCAGCAGCTACATGCGGCGGGACGGCAAAGGCCAGGTCTACAACAACCTGCAGCTGCTCAGCCAAGTGCTGCCGCGACTGAAGGCCTTCATGATCACGCGCCACAAGATGCTGCAGTTCGATGAACTCTTCAAGCAGGAGACGGGCAAAGACAGGTACAGAGGCACAGGGGAGGAGGCGGCTGAGGCGGCAGGGAGGGGAGGACCGATGGTTGTCGGCTGATTCACCACCAGTAAAGCTTCCGCTAAGGGTTTCGTCGCAGCCCTTGCTGATGACGTCATCAGCAGTGGTCACAGGAAGGGTTCTCCTGGTGGCGTGGCTACTCAAGGTAAAATAACAGCAAAGTGAAATGAAGCACTGGGACAATTCTGTGGATAATTCAGGGCCCAATCTTTATATCTGAGAAAGAAGCTTCCCAGCTGCTGGCCTATATTGGTAGAAAGTGCAATATAATAGCTCTGGTGCATTTCATTTTGCTTGTGTGAACACTAATCAGAAAGAAGTGTGTGGGTTTCCTCGTCTCTCCAAAGGCATTTATTCAGTCAAACCAATATTTACTGAACACCAACTACTTGCTCAACAGTGCACCTGGCACTGAGGATACAGTCAAAAGCAAGATCCTGTCCCCCTCCCCCCACAAGAAAATAAAGGCATAGACATTCACCAGGTAGCGACCAGTGTGCTGAGGGTCATCCAGGGGAAGAGAATGGTGCTGTACCATGCGGAGTAGAGACACACTGCGTGACCTAGGGCCATGTTTTGTAATAACCCAGTCATGAAACTTGAAATCAATGTAGTGACACCCTGAAAGATTATTTTCTAATGGAGTAGAATCAAATGGAATGGAAGAGAACAGACAATTTCAGCATTCATCCCACATAGTAAGGCCAAGTATTGTTTCATAAAATTTTATTCCACTTTGTTAGAAACAGATAGATGTCAAGTTCTTTTTGAGGCCAGGAAAAATGTTCTGGAGTTAATGGTATACACCTGTGAATGTGCTTAAAAAAAAAAAAAAGAATCACTGAATTACATGCTTAAAAATAAAATGAAATGAAAAATATATAAAGGAATCCTTCAAAATGCTTGTGTTTGCTGGTGCAAAAAAATTTCAAATGTTACACAGTTATTTTGCAATATGTATTTTCTGTGAACTTTTTGAAGATCCTTCATGTAATTCTTAATTATGATTTAAGATGTATTTTTCACCTTAGTTTGAAAATTTTTGAAAATTACTTCTCTAGGAGATAAGGGAAAGATTTTGTCAAAAAGGTGTGTTTAACCTAAGACCCAGACCAAGGAATCCTGTATTTATCCAAGGAAAGAACTGGGAAGAGAAGAGAGAGACCTCCCTAGCATCCAAGAAATCACACATAAGGGAACATGTAGAGGGATGGAGAAAAGCCCCCCATGGCTGCGATCAGAAAGACTGGATGGGGTGGCACAAGGGGAAGTTGAGAGATGAAGGATTACGAGCTGCCCAAACCTAGACGGGATAAAGGACAGCTCGGTGTTGAGAGCAGCGGTATGGAGTTGCCCAAATACATGGCTGTGGGTTGGAGGTCTGGTTCCATCTCTCCCCAGGTGTGTGGCCTTGCTCAGGTTGGCTAACCTTTTAGACACTTGGTGACCTCACATGTGAAAAGAACATGGTGGCCTGTTCCAAAGTTGAACGTCCTTGCTTCTTCAATTCTAAAACACAGGCTCTCTAATCAACGTAGATTTAATCATATCATTCATCTCTCATACAAGAAGAAAAATACTATTGAGCCTGTTTTTATCTTAAGAAATACAGAGATGACTGAAATAAGGAGCATAAAGTACTAAACACATTGTTTGGAGAACAGAGTCTTAAAGAAAGACTAAAGTCCATTGTCCCCAGATTCTTTGTGTGAAGGAGCTACCTTTTCTACATCCTGGAAACCTCCTGACTGTGACTTCGTGAGGGCTGGCCTGGCAGGAGTGGGCTGGAGTTTGGTAGAGACAGGAGAGAGAAAGCTGCTGTTGGCACATGGAGGGCCCAGCAAACCCCAGGCTAGCTCTGCCATTGGGTCTCTCTGGCCATCCTGGTCACCAGCACAATATGCCACAAAATCCAAGCAGGCATTGCCCTTAAAACCCACAAATACAGAGACTGCCCATCAGTTGAGTGAGTCCTTAGCCAAGAAAGCATTTTATAAGGGACAAAGGAGTGGAATGTGCCTGGAATTATTTCGTTTTTTATCTTGTTGGAAAATTCAAAATCAGTAGAAACTGCCTGTTCAATAGGAAACACTTGTTTCTTTCATTTTTTTTTTTTAGGGTAATGACTATTTGCTAAATTAAACTTCTTGTGAAACTCTGCTGCAGGGTTAGCTATTTAGGATAATTACACATTGCTCTAGATCTCCTATAAGATTTTTTATTTTAAATTCATCATTTAAAGACTTGGCCACTTAGGATCTTTAAGAAATATCCCATATCAAGAAAAAGCCTAGGGGGCTGGCACTGTGGTATAGTAGGCTAAGCCTCCACCTGCTGTGCCGCCATCCCATGTGGGTACTGGTTTGTGTCCCAGATGCTCCTCTTCTGATCCAGCTCTCTGCTTATGGCCTTGGAAACCAGTGGAAGATGGCCCAAGTGCTTGGACCCCTGCACCCATGTGGGAGAACCTGGAGGAAGCTCCTGGTTCATGGCTTTGGATCAGCCCAGCTCCAACTATTGTGGCCATTTGGGGAGGGAACCAATATTTGTAAGATCTTTCTCTCATCTCTCCCTCTCCCTGTCTGTAACACTACCTCTCAAATAAATAAATAAAATCTTTAAAAGACAAAGCCTACTCACTAAAGTCTGACCATGTCTATGTCTCTGGTAGTCCCAGCTGATGAGAAAGGAGCCAGATTTTCATGGATTGGCTACTGCGATTCTTTCTGCAAGCATCCACCTTACTTAGGGCCACACAGTCCCTACTCAGGAGAATCACACTTACGATTTGTAGAGTGACTAAGTACATGCTACTTCTACAAACTGTGCCAGTCACCTTTAGGAAACTGTCTTTCAAAAGTTAGTACTGTACTCACCCAAGACTTTTATGTGTCTACATTCTTGACTGGTAGCCTGCTGTAATATAAGCTGAAAAAAGCAAGTCAGAAACAGCCCTTCACAACAAAGTTAAATCTGTAAATTAAAGCACAAAAGACTTAGTGTGTGACAGTATTTCCTCTGTGTGTGGTTTTTCTCAAAACCCAACAAAACGGTAGCATATATTGAAGTTACAAGGAGTGTGGAATATCTAATTTGCATATTTCAAGATCAGAACATTCATTTCAGACTAATACTTTGATGACATTGGATTATTCAGTAAGTTTGGATTTATAGAAGTTTGATTCTACTTAAAACTGGAAGGGGAAAATGGCTCAGGAGCAATCTGCAATTAAGAAGCATGACAAATGACATAGATGGCCAAGTGGTATTCTTTGATATTAGAAAGTAACTGTACTTGAAAATAACTTTATAATTGAATAAGGGTACATTAGGAAAATATGATTCAGAACCAATATTATAGTAATTAGATAAAGGAAGCATAAATGAAATAACTGCAGGAAGAATATTTCCATAGAGATTATAAATGAGATTCTGGTGGAGCAGAAAGGCCTTTAATTGTAATTTAGTGTGCACTATAGAATTATCAGCTCAGTGTGTTACTTCATCATATAAAAGAATATCTGATAATTTTCCCTAATAAGCACATGACAGCTCTTTATATTCTTTCATTACAGTTGATTAAGTGTAAAAACAGTAGATATTCCTTTGTTGGAAAAAGAGTTCAAATCCTTTTAGGAAGACAGTACAAAGCAGTTGCATTTCTGTAGCACGTGATACCAGAAGGCTATTATTTAGGAAGTCTGAGGAATTTTAAGTGGTGCTTTACAGAATTCTTCACTTTAGTTTCTTTAGTCCTAGTTTGTATTCTTCCCCCATTTTTACTCATGAAGTTTTTTTTCTGTAGAGCCACATCTTTCCAGATTCCATGCTGTGGCTGGTGATCCCGCCAGCATTATGCAAAGGAGAGCCAAAAGGATGCCCCTTGGGAAAAATCCCCTTTGGTGTTTCCACTAGCTGTAAATGGGGCTATTGCCTGGATTCCCACATCAGGATCTTGGCAATTCAAGGAAGCTGTCATTCACTTCATGGATCCTACTTCCTCCCGGTTAACGCACTCACTTGGACTAGGTCTAGACCGACTGGTCGAGTTCACTGTCACAGCACAGAAGTGAAGAGAGGCTCTAACTTAAGGGAAGCATTTCTGCCCTTAGCCTTCACCATTCACTCAACTCTGCTCCATCCTGGTTCCTTCAGTCTCGAATGCCTTATGAATATATAGCTCTGCTGAGAACAAAAGGAGTTGTTAATACCTCTGTAAGCTGGAGGCTACTGAATTTTGTAATTAGTGTCCTGACTACTGATGGTGGCTCCTGCAAGAACCCAGCAGCAGAGTGTTGGAAGGACTCTCTTCATGGATACTAAAAAGCACAGACAGAAATGACTGAATTACTTCATTTGCTCCACCTAAGCAACAAAGATAGAAGGAAGGGATCTGGATGTATCAATACCTCAAGCAGGATGCTTTTCATAGATGGCCTCTCATTTAGTTCCCAAAGAGCCTAGAGGATAGAGCTACCATTTTCCACTTTATAGATAAGAAATCAAGGGTCTGAGATCAGAAATAAGCTGCCTCAGATCATCCAGTTGTCCATGCTAGAACCAGGTAAGATTCAAGCACATGAGATTCCCATTGTTTTAAGCTTTTTGTATGTATGAGGGGGCTTCAGAATGTCCATAGAAAATTACATTAAAAGATAAGCTTATTTTACTGCAAAAAATAATTTGAAATCCATGCATGGTGTTTTTTAGGACATGCATTTTCCATGAACTTCTAATGCCCCCTTGGCTTCTGAGACGTTGCTGGGTCAGGACACAGTAGAATGTAGGGGAGCCTGGAGTGAGTGAGAAGGGGCTGAAGAACTAGAAAGGTGAAGCCATGAACTCCAGAATAACCAAAAGTACCCTTGCCTGTCAGATATTTGACAAAACAAAGGATTCCTTAAAATGTTCTCTTTTTTCTTTTTTTCTTCTTTGGTCCTATGTCAAATGGAAATAATGCAAAGTGCTGAACACAAAAATCTTCCTGCTCCTGAAAGAAGGGGGCCACACAGTGCACATAGAAAAGGCTTTCTGCAACTCTGTTATTCACATCACATATGGTGCTATGGCTGGACAAAGGCAGACAGTCTGACCTTGGGGATAAGGTATTTGAAACTGGCTAATGAGGCATGCCATAAGCACTGAAAAAAAAAGTAAAAGTGGCAACCCCCGATGAATTGAAATTAATGTCAGCCGCAGCACAGTGTGGTAGACCAATGAGTTGTTCTCACACGTTCAGTTTAGACCTTGATGTTAATGTCTCCACGGTTATCCATAGGCATGGCACATGGATGAGGCTAGGTACTGATTGTGAATGGGCAAAGTAATGAATGGTAGAATGCATGGACTTATTCCTTAAATTTTGTCAGTTTTTGGCCTTTTAATAAAAATGTTCAAAGGGCCCTGAATGTTTGGAGATAAAATACAGCACATATTCATTTAAATATTAGGATTTCTGTGGCCCTTTTTCTCTGGTCTTTAACCTCTTCCTAAATGAGAGTATTCTTCATAAGGAAAGACATTCAATCAAGATGTTGGTATTAATTAGTTTACTTGAAAGCAACCTTTTACTCTGAGATTGATTGAACAACATATTGATTGATATTCAAATCCACATGTTTATTCATATTTCATAAGTTCTTCATTATCTAGCCTGCTTTGAGAACTTCTAGTTAGTCAAGCACTCTAGTTACTAAAGAATTGTCATGCAGACATTACCATCTACAAGGAATTGAGTTAGGCTAACACACAACTGAACATCGAAACTTTGGCCATAGACTTTGAGGATGTAGAAGTCCCTTGAGCATCATTTAGTGTCAAAAATCCATCATGATGGAGAATCGATGCCAGTTAATGATTATGGTAATATTGCTAAGATATTTCAATTTGGTGAAATTCCAGATATCTACTAATTGGTGAAAGATAAAGAGCAAGAGCACGTCTGTTTATGGTCAGCCTTACTCCAGGATGGATTCAGGATGGTAGTAGCTATAATTGTGCCTGGTGTAATGATAGTTCTACCAGTTGGCAGGCTTAATTTTGGTTCCTTCCAGGAAGATCTCCAACACTTGGCTGAGCACTGGCTGGTTCACCATGACGATTGCACTGGAACTCTGTGACAGGATCAATGTTTATGGCATGGTGCCCCCGGACTTCTGCAGGTAGGATTTATTCTGTGAATGTAAATCATCAGCAGTGCTGCACAGTGTTTACAAATAATCTGATTCTGAATATCAACCATGAGACATACCTAACTGTCTTCTGGAAGCAATTAATTAGCATGTCCCAAGTTCTGGTTCTAGAAACAACAAACCGCATTTAATTATGTGATATAAAATATTGAAAGCTTTTGTTTGTACTGATGGAGAATTAATCCATCTTGTGGGCTTCATTTATCCTCTGAATATTTATCACCTGAAAGTAGTGCAATAATTGACATAATACTAACGAAGAACAAGCATTAAGAAATATCAGTTTTATTCTCATTTGAAAGGATGTGATAATTTTCTAATGAACTAAAGAGGGTAATTCCTTTGACAGTGAGGCCTGCTTTCTAAAATTAAAATACTCCTCCAGGCTCCTTTCCCTTGCCACACCAATAGCCTCAGTTTGTACTTTTATGGCCAAAAACACCAGCAAATTATTTTGATGTATCTCTTTAAAGGAAATATGCGCACATCTCTATCGCTACCTAAGTCCCCTCTGGGAATATTTGTATTCAGAGTTTGGTGTGTTCCAACAGATTCTCTGAGTGAAATTCAGGGCCTGATTTGCAGAAGTCCACTAATCACCCATAATTGAAAGTACTGCAGACAATCAATTTAAAAAAATTCCCTAATTTTCAGGAACGCCTAATGCCCTGATCTTCAAGTGGTCAGACTTGGGATGGGGGACATTTTTAAACTTGCTCATTAAAATGTATGCTTGCCTAAACTTTCATGTGTTTTAAACTAACAAGAACACAAAGGCTCTGTGTCTTCAGGCAAAAACTAGAAAGTCAAGGTCTAAAGCCAAGATGAGAAAGGGCACTTAACCATGTCTGTGTTGGTCTGTTTGTTGTTGCTATGTAATGGAAGACCAGAGACTGGGTCGTTTATAAAGAACAGAGGTTTATTCAGGTCATGGTTCTAAGGCTGCGGGGTCCAAGGTTAAGGGGCTGCATCTGCTGTTGGGGACATAGTGCAGAGTCTGGAGTAGCCCGGGGCACCTTAAGGCAGGAAGGACACATTCAGGAAGAACAGAGCCAAACCAGCTTTAATGACAGACCCACCCTAGAGATAACTCCTTACCTCATCCACCTCCATTCACAAGGGTAAATCTGTCATGACCTAATCTAAAAATCCCACCCGTCTACCTCTAAACACCTCACAATGGAGATGAAATTTCCCCTTGAGTTTGGGTGAGGACATTCAAACCATGGCAACAGCATCAGCATTTTGCCACTTTTTATAGCCTAAAGATCCAAAGCAACAGCAGTGCCAACTTATAAAAGGTCACAGAGGAGAAGGGAAGGTAGGGATGAAGCCAACTTTTGATGGGTTTCCTATGCCGGGGCCCGACTGACTGCCCAGGAGTGAAGGCCAGCCTGGCACTTACCAGACTAGTGTGACCTTGAGCAATCACTTGATCTGTCTACGTCTCAGCTTCCTCAGCTGTACAAGTGGGTGTGATGATGACAACAGACTCTGCCTCAGAAGGTCGGGGGCGGATACACCAAGTGAATACAAGTGAAGTGTTTGCAACAGCACCTAGGACTTACCAAGCACGAGGCAAGTAGCTTGGATCCTCACCCAGTTCCTCAGCATTTAATTCACTGGCTTTGTTTCCTTTTTAAACAGTGTAGGTGCAAAAAGTAGGTAGCATGCCATAAAGAAGCAATCTGCCTCTGCAGACCAACAGGCTAACAAAGGCAGTAGGGCAACACTTACAGACATGCAAGGACCTGTCAACACTGATGGTTTTACAGCAGATGTAATTACATACTGTTGCCATTAGGATGCCAGAAAGAGAAAGCGTGAATAAATTGAAATGTTAATGACTTAGAGTGTTCAAAGAGTATTCCTTTATCATGGAAAACAAATGAAAGTCAAGTTAACCTGTCATTTCTCTAACTCAGAATTAGTTCATTAGGACTTCCTGTACAGTAGGATGGAAACAATTCATTGAATGATACTAACAAGGAAATTAAGATAATGTTTGTCAAAAAAAAAAAAAAAAAAAGATAATGTCAAGGCACCATATGTTGCCACCAGCTCTGAGTTTCTGTTCCTCAGCTACCATCAGAAAGATCCCATAGCTATGTGCACAAGACAATGTTCAGCAAGAATGGTTCAAAAGGATGCCTATGCCCAGCTTCTGCCGGAATGCATGGAGGAGAGGCTTAGGGCTGGAGAGTGCATCCTGCTCTTCCCCTCCAAGCCATCATGATGCCAGTCTGGCGGAGGCTCAGCAGGGAAGCCCAGAGCAGCAAGACTGATGCCCTTGTTCCTCACATCTTCACTTTGTAAAAAGATTTATTTTTTTTTATTTGAAAGATAGAAGCATAAAAAGAAGGAGGGGGAGAGAGAGAGAGAGATCATCCAACCACTGGTTCATTCCCCCAAATGGCCACAACATCAAGGGTTGGACCAGGCTGAAGCCAGGAGCCAGGAGCCAGGAGCTTCCTCTGGGTCTCCCATGTGATTGCAGGGTCTCAAGCACTTGAGCCATCTTCCACTGCCCTCTCAGGTGCATTAGCAGGGAGCTCGATCGGAAGTGGAGCATCTGGGACTTGAACAGGCACCATATGGGATGCCAGCATTGCAGGCAGAGGCTTAACCATCCATGCCACAGCACTGGCCCCACTTTAAATAAATACATCTTTGAAAAAGAGAGACAGAAAATTTAGAGAAAAAGATTTAAAAATAGACCAGAACACTTGCCTACTACAGGCATATGATAAGCCTTACCACAAAAAAAAAAAAAAAAAAACCATGGGCAAAAAAAAAAAAAAAAACAAAGTGACCACAGTCACTTACCACTTACCATGTGACTGTGAAAGGAAGCAGCTTTTGCAATACTCATGTAAGAGTCCAAAGACCTTTACAAACAGTATCTGCCATGTGAGAATGAAATACTAATGTATAAGTCCTGCTACCAGTCTATTGCCCTGTTGTCTTTATTTTAAAAGAAGCTGAGAACTATTAGAGACCCAAAGCATGATCCATGTGCCATGAGATCTAGAACCTAAGGAGATAAGATATCACCACCAGGACCCAAATAGATTAGGCACAGTTTTGTGACAGAGCACAGCTGAAACTAGTCCAGCGTGCTCAAACATAACCTCATGGAGGGCAGGGAGCTCTGTGTGTTTGGTTCAGGACTGGGACCCTACTGTACTGTCCCAATATACAGCAGATGCTTCCCAATTATTAAGTCAGTCAGTGACTTTATCCTCTTCTCTCTCTTTAGTGCTGTGGTGGAGGGTTTTGTATATGAATGAAAAATAACCATGTTGGTTTCTCAGAAACTGTGATCTTGGCAAAGTTATCTGACCTCACTGAGCCTTAGAGGCCCTGGCAAGTTACTTAATGACTGTGTCCTGAAGTCTTAGCTTCTGTGTCTGTAAAATGCTGAGGATGATATTTGCCTTGAGAGTTTCTCTGAGAGTTCCAGGAGATGGTAGAGGAGCAGTGCCTAGCGCTCTGCCAGGGTATGTTATTCACACAGAAAGTTACCAGGGCAGGAGGATTTGGTGATCTTCAAGTGTGGGTATGCATTAGCACAATTTACAGAAGAGCCCAAGAGCATGAATGATCAATGCTCATTGGTAAGGGGGGCCTGGTTCCTGAAAAGGGAGGGCTACGTGTTATCTTTGTGTGAACAGGACCTCAATTTTCTTCCCCATTGAGAATTGGCTTCCCATGGCCCCCAGCTCCTTGTGGGACATCATGTGGACTGCCCATAATGTACCCAGTCATTCTGTTGCTTCTCTGAAGTTCCCTGTCCCCCAGTGGACTGAAAGTTAGCCACACAATCCATGATTTCAGCAAGGAAATGGAGAGCCAACTGTTCATTTTTGGCAGTTTCTGAACTTAAGATGCAATTAGTACCCTCAAAAGAAGTCATTAGCTAAATATATCACAGAGACTTTCATTCATTCCACTAACTCATGCTGGGCACTGGGGAGGTAATCAAAGACACATGAGGCCGTCTCTGCCTGCAGTGCCCCAAGTCTCACTGGACCACAATCCAGTCATGAGGGACAGTGGTGCTCATGAGAAAGAGAAGAAAAAATATTCACTCTCTGCCTATCAGACCACTGAGTTCTCTTGGAACATCTGCCTCTGGCTTTGAAGTGGACTTGGAGGAATCTGCATTTCTCTGCAGCCAAAGAACCTGAGATTCCCCCCACCCACACCCAACTTGATCAACAACGGACTCCCTTGGATCTGTTTTACAAATGGGCTCTTGTGATTTCTTCCCAGTGAAAGATCCCTTGGTAGATAAGGACTTTGACAACCTCTGGAGTAAGATGCAATCGTGCTGCTTTCAGGCCTAAATTAAATTCTCACACATTTTTCAGGAGAGTTTACTCATCACCTCCTTACTGCCAGGAAGATTGAGCACAGAGAAACAAAGCACTATACTTGCCCTGTGGTGGTGCCCAAAGGGATGGTCAGCGACCGACCTGGTCCTGAGTGAGGGGATGCAGAAGGGAGGGAGGAGGAGCCTGAATTATACTCTGGGGGAGAAAAAGCAGCTAAGCAGGCCCCAAGTGCTTGATCTCCCAGACAGCCTGGGTAGAATGTTCATCCTTACCAAGCTGGAACTGTCATTTTCCATCCAGCTTGCCTGGAGGTCTGGCCACCTCAGCCCACCCAAGGGCCTGAGTTACTTCCAGCCGTCAGTCATTTGTTGGCAAGAAAACTTCGAGTAGCCCCTAAAACTGTCAGGCACGTAGATTCTTTGGCAAGAATGATATCCCCATATTCATATTTAAAACCACCCGTGGAAGTAGAGGCATGGTGGCAGATGAGTGACATTTCTTACTCAACCTGGCAGAGTCTAATAATGACCAAAAGTCACTTGAGCAGGAAGCTCATTTGCTTCTATAAAACCTCCTGCTTCTCTCCCACTCTGGTCTTCCTCCTCACCAACCATCCCTGTGCTGCTAGATACC